GAGGAGAAGCTCCCACAGCTCATCCCACCAAGAAGGTGTCCTGACACACTCACTCAGGAAAAAGGGAGAGCGAGAGGACACTGTGGAATCGGGATAATAACGTCCAGCAGGAAAAACCCTTTGAAATCCTAACAAAGTCACAAAGTCACATTTGACCTGTTCTTATTCGATTTGACTTTTGATTCTATATGTGCAGTTTTCTATATGTGATGACCACTGAAAATAAATATGTTAATGAGTCGGTGAATAATAATATGAATGTCACAATAATTGCAGAGATTGAAACTTTATTTATAATTCTTCCAATAAAATAAAATAAAATAGAAAAAAAAATCCCCTATTCAAAAGTGTCATGTGACCAGCTAATTTGCACATGTAGTGTTGACCTCAGCAGCAGCCTTGGGAGATTTTTAGGATATAAAATTCACCTTTCTTTGTTCTGAACTTATAAGTAGGCAGAGTAAAGTTCCATTTTCAGCCCAAATGTCTGTTTGTTTGCAGCTTTGATGTTCACAGCCATCAATCATTCAGTATCAACTAAGAACAATTTGAAAACATTCAGATTCTTAGAAGAATTGTAGTATTGAGATACTAAAACTAAAAAAAACCAACCATGAAAAAGGCTCACCCAATAGCTCCCGAGTGGACTGAATTTGTAGCACTCAGAAAGGCATTTGATAAATTTAGTGAGGAAAAACTCCACCTGGAGGACAGGATTAATCAAAGGCATGTGGAAAAAACTCAGGTGGACAAGAAGTATCGTGAAGTGTAGTCAGAGCTCCAAGATATGGAGAACAAAAATAAAAGTCTGCAAAAAATGTTTGATGAAAGAGAAAGAGGAGCAGCAGGAAATACACCAACAGCAATGTAAGCTTCAAGATATGGAAGCTGAACTGAAAGCAGTTCAGGCAAGAGAAGCAAGAAGCACTGAGGTGGAGATCAAGATCCAAGACATGATTGATGAAGCACATCAAAGAAATAAACAAATGTTGTATGAGAATGAACAGCAGGAGGAAATACAACAACATTTGC